AGATAGATAGATAGATAGATAGATAGATAGATAGATAGATAGATAGATAGATAGATAGATAGATAGATAGATAGATAGATAGATAGATAGATAGATAGATAGATAAGCAGTGCAAATTAACATTTAGCTGTAAAACTTCTTTATTGTATTTATATTTTATTTTATTTTACTTGTTTTGTTTAAAATTATATGCCCTATTTTTGATACATTGTTTTGTGGAAGATGACTTTTACAAACATTTCTGACCTGCAAATAACCTTGACTGTGATGAATGAAGTGATCCTAAACTTGTATTTCCTAAATTTTAATGAGCCAGCTGTCTGCTTTCTCAAGCAGGTGTCGTACGAAGCCTCCACCTAATAAAGCAGCTTGTCCTAAAGGTGTCTTCTGATCACCCTCTGTCTCTTTTCATTTCCTGGTGCAGGCCTCAGTCTTTCTGGCTCGGTCACTTCCAGTCTCTCCTGTACTGCTCAGAGAACAACCAACTTGGAGTATTCTCAGAGGAGCTCCACAGCTGTAGCTGCCGATACGAGCACAGTCCCTGTCAGCTGCCTCCACCCTGCACCATTGGGGAAGGCTCGTCCTGCGCAACATGTGCATCAGACAACCCGGCCAGATGTGGCAGCTGCAACTCGGGCTTCACTCTGACACAGGGGCTTTGCAGACCCATGGTGGCAGACTCGACAGAGAACTACCTTGGCTTTGAAACGGACCTCCAGGATTTGGAGCTGGGCTACTTACTCCAAAGAGCAGACCGCAGGCTAGAGGTATCTCTTTGTTATTTCTGTTTTTTTAACGATGGCAGGCTCACTGACAGTGGAGCTGTCTTACAACAGTAGTTTGGCAAAAAGATAGATGGACTCCAGGGAGCCACTCAGCATTGTGTAGTGCTACCCTTCTGGCAAATGAAGAACTTTATAGCTCCATGTAACAGTTATACAATTTACTGTGTTATTTTTTTTTAATACCATATTTTTTAACAACTTTGCTACAACATAATAATCTTGTACCTGATTTATATGTAACAGTGACTCATGCTGTGTAAATGTTGTTTTTGAAATACATGAGAAGTTGTGCAGCTTCTCTTCATAAACGGTTGTGCAGAATAGAAACTGCACATGCAACATGCAAGAAGATGCTGTTAGGGACATTTTCCAAACTTTTAAGAGTTTTACTTGTAAGACAATACAAATTTGGTGTTCCTAGCATATACAAAAATATATAAAAAAATAAATTGATATTCAGAATAACAAACTCATGATATGCTCTTGTGTGTCTTTAATAAATAAATAAACCAGTAAAATACAGAAGCAGTGTGTAGAAAACAGTCTTTTGCAACTGCTTTCATATAAATGTAGTTAGTAAATGGCAACCAGGTGCTAAAGTATGTGCTAAACATACAGTAATGTCACAACAAAACAGGAGTTTTGACACTTTGCTTGTCTGAAACATAATAAAATAGTGCATTAATGCGACACAAAGAATACAAAAACCTTTTAAAAATTGTTGCTTTTTTAAGAGTGATGTAAATCTTTTTTTTTTTTTTTCAAAAAACATATATATTCTTGTTTTTTTTATAGTGAGAGGTTGTTTGGAAATCAAAAAAACTCTAAAATTTTCCCAGGCAATGCTCATTGTAATTGTACTACACTCAATAATCTTCACGTTTTATCTTAACCCTGACCCAAAGGCTGCAGGACTGCTAAATATTAAATTTATAGACGACACACTTAAACAATAAATTAAAAGTAGCATGTATGATTATCTTGTGTTTTTGTCTATGAAATATTTTACAGAAAGCTTGTCCTTTCCAAAAAAGACCATGGCAGTACAACTTAGGTTTATAGAGTTGAATCTAAATATTTAAATAAAAACTACATTTGCAATAGATTCAGTTCACTGAAATGTCAATGAATTAAAATTATTCATGTTCAATATGAATCTGAAAGTGATTAAATCATGATGTTGATGTTTTTCTTCTTCTTCAGTGTAGTTTGTCAAATTAATCACATGGAGTAAAAAGTTGCATAGCTGTATGAATTGGTATTGTTCCAGTGAGTCTGCATATGCTTCTTTTAAATATTATTTAAAATCTGGTGTAGCAGAGTGAACTTATACTTTTTTGTTATTATTATTGCTATTGTTATTGTTGTTATTTATTTATTTGTAATTTACAAAGTACAGATCACACAAAAATAGTAATAGTCACCCGCTTTGAATGTTATCAGCCATTAAATGTCAGATTATTAATTGTTATCGTCCACATGTGTAGCGGTCAGACTGTACCTGGGTTTAAAGGTACATCATTAGTGTTGGTAGAGCTGATAATAGGCTCACCTGGTTAGGTTCAAAGTAAATGGTTTGGGGGTTAGGTTTAGGCACAAGGGGAAAGGGGTTAAGTTTAGGGTCAGTGCTCTGTATCAGGTGTAAGGTGAGGTTTAGGAAAAGTTTACATAAAGCTGACGACAACAAAAACACTTCCTGTTTTACCCGAGTGCGATGCTGCACATTATCAGCGATACAAACGTAACTTTAAAACTCCTACGAGGAAGGAGGGACGATAACGTCCATTTAATGGGCTGATAACATCCAAAGCTGCTGTGATATTTTATATATATATATTTTTAATTGTATTAATTTACTGTTTCTGTGTGCATTTGTGTTATGCAGGTCCACGCAATTTTTATCAGCAACGACATGCGACTTAATAGCTGGTTTGACCCATCGTGGAGAAAAAGGATGCTGCTGACGCTAAAGAGCAACAAGTATAAGTCCAACATGGTTCACATGCTGCTTGGAATATCTCTCCAGATCTGCCTTACAAAAAACAGCACCCTTGAGCCTGCGCTGACTCTCTACATAAACCCTTTTGGAGGGAGCCACTCTGAGAGCTGGTACATCCCTGTCGATGAGAACAGTTTTCCAGACTGGCAAGCAACTAAGTTGAATGTGCCCTTTGAGTGTTATAACTGGACTTTGACGTTGGGCAACAAGTGGAAAACGTTCTTTGAAACCATCCACATTTATCTTCGCAGCAGGATAAAGACGCACGATGGAGTGAATGACAGTGTTTACTATGAGCCCATTGAAATGACGGATCCCGCTCAAAGTCTGGGTTACATGAAGATCAATAGCATCCAGGTCTTTGGCTACAGTATGCACTTTGACCCAGAGGCGATCCGCGACTTGATTCTGCAGCTGGATTACCCGTACACCCAGGGCTCACAAGACACGGCCATGCTTCAACTCTTGGAACTCCGGGACCGGGTGAACCGGCTGTCCCCTCCAGGCCAACCAAAGCTGGACCTGTTTGCCTGTCTCCTCCGCCACAGACTCAAACTAACTCCTAGCGAAGTGGTTCGCATACATGCCTCTTTACAGGCTTTCAGCTCGCGTCTGCCCAACACAGCAGATTATGAGACCACCAAACTGTGCAGTTAACAGTCATTCGAAGAAAAATGGGGGGGGGGGGGGGGGGTCGGCGGCAAGGAGAACTTCTGCAATTATTGTAGTGCGGATGTATACAGACATGTTTGGTCTTTATAGATTACCAATCTCTGGTAAATCAAGAGTCGACCAGCTGTGGACAGCTGAAGAATGTACACATTCAGTTTTATTAATTCTTTGTGGAAGCTATGCCTTCAGTGATGCACACACAAGTGGGCTGACCTGGTGAGAAAACACACAACTGCTTCTTCAAAACAAATTCTAAATAACTCTGTAGGAATTCAGAAACACCACATGAAGTTGAACCATCCTGTTTTAATATGACTGCTCATTTATACTGTAAGTACCAACGCCCTATGAATGGACATTCGATGATTAAAATGGTACCGTTTGTTTGTTTGTAATTTTTATATGTTCCTTTGCTTCAGTGACAGTGCACTTTCCATTATTAAAAAAAAATATATATAGTGGTGTAAAACACGATTTTGTAGATAAATTGATATTAAAACATCATGGTACAACATATAAGAGGTTTGTCTAATTTGTTTAGCATGCTATAGTTGTCTCTTAATGTTTAAAATATCTAAGTCTATTACAAAGAACACCTCAAAACTGAGTTTAAGTAAAGAAAAGGTGCCAATTGCGATTGCAATATTTATTTATTAACCTTTATTTAACCAGGCAAATCCCATTGAGATCACAGGTCTGTTTTACAAGGGAGGCCTGAGCCTGTAGCCAGCCTAACATGCATGTTTTTGATCTGTGGGAGGAAACTGGAGTACACGGAGAAAATCTACACAAGCACGAGAAGAACATGCAAACTCCACACAGAAAGGCTTCAGCTCCAACTGGGGATTGAACCCAGGACCTTCTTGCTGTGAGGCAACAGTGCTAACCACTGTTCCATCGTGCTGCAATAAACAAATTGATTTTGATAACTTATTTAACAGTATCTAAGCAGTTTGTTTTCTATCAGTTATGTATGTATTTCCATGAAAAAGTGCAAATTTCACTACATTAACACTGAAAGCAGTTAAGTTTAATTGCTGTTCCATGAACTTTCCTATGTTATGGTGAGGTACTCTGTAGTTACAGTCCGTTTCTCACGTACAAGATGAAGCCTTGTAAACACTTTTAACCATTTTACACAAACATATATGTGTTTGTGTGTTGGGTTGTGAGCTCTGTCAAACAATCATTGAGTGAACAGCAGTGAACTGTGGTTGAACAGATCCTGTCGACTCTGACAAAGGACAGGAGCTGCTGCTATTGTGCTGCTGACACGCTGCTTTCTGCAACGAGTCCAGTTTTCTAACAAATACAAATTAGCTCAGACAGCACACAGCTTTCTGTTCCACTCAAACACATAACCAGCCATTAGTAAAGCATGCCTCCAAGAAATGTCGGTGTGGCTGTGTCAGCATGTCAAACAACTGAAAGAAACGAGCTAACACAAGCTTTTATTGTTTTTCTTTTGCTCTGGGACATTATTCTGGTTATTTGTTTACTTATTTAAATATTATAAATAAATGGCCAATATGTTTCACTAATATAAAACAAAAAGACAATTTGAAATTGATTGATTAAAAAATTAAATTTATGTATCATTTTTTAATGTATTTATTTAAACAATAGTACTTTTCTTTGGACAGTCTGTGTGGTCTCTGAAGTTCATATTCACAGCTAACACGTCAAGTAAAAAAAAAAAAAATGCAAACAAAAACACACTAAACTATTAGATTAATAAAAACCTAAAATAATTTCTGATAGGGACATTGATGCTTTTAAATGAGCATTTAGATTTACGTTTTACGTTCAACTTTACATAAAAAAAATGGTGAAATCATATTTGAAATTCAACTTTGAAAGCAAAAATATTTTGTATAGATTGGTGCAATAACAACATATTAAAAAAAAAACACACAAATCAATGATATAGACAATTTTCTATAGTTTATATATATATATATATATATATATATATATATATATAGGGGGTTTTGTTTTTACTAACGTTAAAAAAAGATGCATTAACCTGTATGACTTTTAGTACAGTCAGTGATTAAATGTTGTGCCTTTGCACAATCGGTCAAAGATTCTATCAGCATCATTAATGTCAGGTAAAAGATGCCATATCTAATCCAGGAGCTTGTATCAGTGTTAGTGGCACTGTAGACCACGGGGAAGTCAAGCACCTGTGAAGGTTAACAGTCATCACCTCAATTTGTCTGCTTCTCCTATCAACTCCAGCTCATGTCAAAAGTTATGTAGGACAAGGGCTGTATATGGATGAGCTGTGTTTGATGAGATGTGAGTGTTGGAATTATATTACCAAATGTCAGCCCGTCTTTTTTTTTTTTCCCTGAATGCAGCAGTGCCAATTACAGAGAGGCCATGAGTGTTTCACAGCAGGATTAAAAGAGCATTTATGAAATATTAAGAGACACCAGCTTTGTTTTTTGTTTTTTTTTTCAGTTTGTTCTGGTTTTAAGTCAACAGCAAAGCCACTAAATGTCTAAACATGTGACTGTTAAGAAAAATGTGTTAAGATTAAATGACGTAAAAGCATTTCAACAGCAGCATTTCAAATACCCTGAGCTGGTAAAGATATTCAGCATAACTGCATAATTACAGAGAACTCAAAGAAAATGAGAATAAAAATAATAAAATGCAGGTCTTAAAGCATAAATTCAGTCCTCCTCGTAGTACATATTAAACCTCCAGCAAATGTAAAAATAAATAAATAAATAAAAATCCCAAGGTAGTCTGCCAATAATTACCATATTTAACTGCACTCTGCTCATTGTGCAATTACCAGACTGGTCCCTAAAACCTTTCCTTCCGAGGCATCAAGCCATAATTTATGACTGCTTGTAAATAGCTCCTTTTACCAGCAATGCGTCTTTCCTGACAGTGTGAGGTAAAAGAAAAGGTCTGAATAAAATGCTCTGACCTTTTGTAATATGCCAGTCAAATATATCATAGACAATGAGTACATGTCCAGTTCACATTACTCATGATAAATTAAATTCTCCGTTTGCAATTTACTCAGGTTTATTTGTTCCACTTAATTCCTATTTGAGTCAGAGGCAGAGCTCTCAAAGGCTGAATATTTGTACAAATGGTGACCTTGGTGAAAATATGGTAGAAAAAAAAAAAAAAAAAATCAAAACTGGAAACCAGACAGCGATGAAAAGTGGGTTTATAAAAGTTCATGCAGTGGACAAAATGCAACTGTTAAAGCACCCTCAGGATGTCAAAACAATATGTTGTGCATCCCCCAATTAGTTGTAGTATATAAAACGAAAAACTAATCAAAGTTATATCCTGATGCATGCTCAATAATCCAGGTAGACAAATATATAAAAGTTAAATCTGGTCCTCTGGACATTCAAAAAACAAAACAATGTAGAAACGTTTCGAAACGTTTCTACATTGTTTTGTTGTTTTTCTTTGTTTTGTTTTTTTGAATGTCCAGAGGACCAGATTTAACTTTTATAGATAATCAAAGTTATGTGAACACAGACATCTGATCTTTATCATAGCTTTTTGTCCACGTCTCTGTCTCCAGACCAGACAACATATCTGGTCTCACCACTGTCTTGTGAAATTTCCTTTTGACCTTTGCTGACACCTGTTTGTCACAAATCACTCCTGAAACTTTTCTCCATCCACTCCATCCTGCCTGGACTCTCTTCTTCACCTCTTTACCACACTCCCCATTTTCCAGGACAGTGGACCCCAAGTCCTTGAAGTCCTGCACCTTTGTGACATCTGCTCTTTGTAGCCTCACTGTTCCACCTGCTCCCTCTCATTCACACATGTACTCTGTCTTACTACGGCTGAATTTCAGTCCTCTTCTTTCAAGTGCATACTTCTTGCACAGCACTCTATTACAACTCAAAAAAGTTAATCTAAATAATTCATCCTACAGAAACTAATTATTTAAGATCATATTCATACTCCAATAGGACACATCAGAAACAATGAGGGGTTCAGTGTCTTGCCAAGGGGCACAATGAGATGTGATTTCATACTGGTATGAATCGAACCTCTGGCCCTTTTGATGTGGGATGACTGCTCTAACCACTGAAACACAGTGATTTAAAAACGCAGAGTCACAAAAATTGGCCCATTTGTGCAGTGTGTGATAATGACACGATGTACATATAATGCCTAGTGACCTACTATCTTTAGCCAAAAGGCTGACAAGGCAAATGCAGGTATTTGATGATAAACTGTCAATGGCATGAAAGTACAGCTGTCAGTGAAATACCTGCTATGAAATGTCTTGAGCTTGATTTTCTATGTGCTTCTGTGAACTGTCTCAGCTGGTAGATGTAGATGTCCATACAGCCATAAATAAAAAAAATATATAATAATAAGAAAATGCTTTTTGGAAAATAATGGATGAGTGGAGCCCAGTTGCTCAATATGCATTATACATTTGTATGGAGATTCGTATATTTACAGGCAAAGTAAATACCCAAGCCATAGCACTTCAATAAAGTTTTTTTTTTTTTTTTTTTTTTTTTTGTATTATGATCAAAATAAGGAATTTTAGTCAGACCTCATGGGAAGCATGCCAGCTTGTAACAATGAGGCATCTTTTGATTATCCATGCCTTATATCAAGATAAGTTTTAATTCTGTCTTTTTTTTTTTTTTAATGACTTAAAGCCCTAACGAAGAGATTTTAAAAACTTGGATGACATGGAGTTTTGAAGTTCTTTCCTCAATGGACAGTAAGGAAATGAGAATATTAAGTACAAACAAACATTCAGCTTTTGTCTTCAGAGAGAAAAGGGCACGGCTGACAGTTAGTTGCAGATTATACCGTTTTAAAGTACCATAGTGGTTGATATTTATCTTCCCCAGCTCTGAAAATATGACACCCAGGTGGACCGTCTCTCTCTCTCTCGCTCTTAAAATGCTCTGCTTAAGGCTGTAAAAATAAAATAAACCCCAAAACACTTACTTAAGGCACACATTTAT